CCAACCTGGCCCAGCCTGGCCCACCCCACCCCCATCATCATCATCATCATCCAGGCTCGTCTGGCAGGGCATGGGAGATTGCAGGTGGGGAGGAGAATCTCCTAGTCCTCGATCTAGATTCTCCACTAGTGGTGACACCAGTGATAAGTTTCGGGCTTCCAATTAAAGGCCAAGCAGTGCCCAGTCCCACCCACAGGCTGGGGGTGTCTAGAAACACACAGGAGAGCTGTGTCCAGTGGGGTCCCCACTGAGCCTCCTTGCGGCGGGCATCCTGGCTAATCAGGGTGACCAACAGAAGCAAAAGGGAGGTGGGGGAGACACACGACTCAACCAGGCTTCCATGGCTGCTCAGCCCTTTAGTACTCTCTCCCCCTGAGCAGCCATTGCAAAGACACGTGACCATCTACCCAGCGAGCTCAGCAGAAACCTGAGTAAAGTCAAACAGAAGGCACCAGTTGGGTATGTTGAGAGCATCACAATCCCCCAAATACACGGGTATCCAAAGATACCCATGTCTACCTAGTCAGGGTAAGGAGGAGGCGCCCAGTCATGGCCACTAACACACATGCCACCATGCAGCCATTCTAGGAGGCCAAAAACAGATGGCCTGGTGGTTCAGAGCACATAATGCTCTTTCAGAGGACCCAAGTTCAGTTCACAGCGCCCTCATCAGGCCTCTCAGGACTGTGCTGCCTGTAATCCCATTCCCGTGGGTCTGATCCCCTCTTCTGACCCCCCAGTCACTGCACTAACATGTATGTGCGTGCACACACAAACACTATTTTTAAATATAAAATACTTTAAAAAGGAACATATTTAGGCACACGCCTTTAATCCCAGCACTCGGGAGGCAGAGGCAGGCGGATCTCTGTGAGTTCGAGGCCAGCCTGGTCTCCAGAGCGAGTGCCAGGATAGGCTCCAAAGCTACACAGAGAAACCCTGTCTCGAAAAACCAAAAAAAGGAATGTATTTAAAGCATCTATAGTACATAGTGGGATGATGGGGTGAAGAGAGGCTTGTTGTATGGCACACAGGTGTCAGAAGTTTCTCAGGGATGAGAATGACAGAGGACACAGGCAGGAGTCACAAGGAAAGGTCTGCAAGTGACAGAGCCCATGGAGGAGCCCAAGTCACCTCACCAAGGAGGTGAGCCCATGTGTGGAGACACGGACCCAGGTATGAATGCATACACATTGGATTGTATGTAAGGGGCAGTGTACAGAGACGTGTGGTTCTGTATGCATGAACTACAAGTAAATGACAGTGTGGACAGAGATACATAGGGCTCTGTGTGCATGGATTCCATGTAAATAGCAGTGCACAGAGAGACACATGTGGTTTTGTGTATGTGGATTGCATGTGTATATGTGTGGGGGTGTGTTCATGAATATATGTATGTGTCCTGGTTTGAAAGAAAATGACCCCCAAAGGGAGTGATACTATTAGGAGGTGTGGCCTTGTTGGAGGAAGTGTGTCACCGTGGGAGTAGGCTTTGAGTTCTCCTGTGCTCAAGCTACTCACAGTGACTCAGACCACTTCCTGTTGCCTGCAAGATGTAGGACTCTCAGCTGCTTCTCCAGCACCATGTCTGCCTGCATGCCACCATGTCCCACCATGATGACAATGGACTAAACCCCTGTAAGCTACCACCTCAATTCAATGTTTTCCTTTATTAGAGTTGCTGTGGTCGTGGTGTCTCTTCATGGCAACAGAAACCCTAAGAGAGTATGGTATAGTATATGCTGTGCACAGTTGTTACCACTGTGTATAGCTAGATGTTCACGTACAAGGATACGTATAGATATGTGTACAATAAGAAATGTGGCCAAGTTTCCTGTGGATCCAGAGGAGTGCAGCAACTGTTGATTGGGGAAACAGAGGTTTCTTTCTGATCCTCCTGGGACACTCCTTCCATCTCTTCACCTCGGGGATTCCAGATGACTCAGCGGAGGTGGGAAGAGATGCATCATCCCCCAGGGCTCAAGAAGTTGTTCCTGCAGAGCCTTCAAAACCACCAGGCAAGGCTCCAGGAGAAGCTGAGCACTGTCTCATAACTAACTGTTCAAGGCAGGAAGAGCAGTGGGTGGGGGCCCCCGAGGGACCTTACCTCTCAGAGTTGAAATCTAATGTTCACTTGCACAAAACTAATCTGAGCGTGCCCTGATGACTACAGACTCTAGAACCATCCACGCCTGTCCCAAACACAGTATGCTTTTATTTTTACAGCCTTCAAGAACCAAGATTATTTGGCTATTCTGGGTCCCAGGAGGCTGTACTCAGCTGGAATTCTGGTGAGAGCTGTGTGGATCTGTAAGCAGCTGGGCTGGACTTCTCAGAACTTCCTTGATTTCTGTTGTTTAATGTTTGTGTTGTTTAATGGTTTTAAAATACACTTTACACTTCTTTTGTTAACTTTACCCCTTGATATTTTATGAAATTTTTGAAGCTATTATAAGCAGGCCTTTTCTCTTGACTTTTTTGTAGATTGCTTGTTGCCAGTATACACACACTCTGGCTTCTGAATATCACCCTTGTGTCCTGCAAGCTTGAAGAACTCATTAGTTGTGACTGTTTTCTAGTGGATTCCTTGAGACTTTTTATAATTGATGGCCCGGCATCTACAGACAGAGATAGGTTCACTTCTTGCTTCCCAAGGTGGGTGTCTTTTCTGTTCTTTTCTTGCCTAATTGGCCAGGCTGCTCTTCCAGTACAGTGGTGAGAGTGGACATCTGTCCTTGTTCCTGACCTCATTGGGAGTGTCCAGCCTTCACTGGTTAGCTCTGTTTTCCATAAATGTCATTTAATAAGCTAAGTCTACCTTTCTGCTTTTGGTGTGTTGTCTCACTTTCTTTTCCTGTTGCCATGATTAAATACCCTGACAAAAAAAAATAACTTTAGGGAGAAAAGATTTACTTTCTCTCACAGTTCTAGGTTCCAATCCATCACAGCAACAAAGTTAAGGCACCAGGAAAGCGCTGGAAGCAACTGGTCACATTATATCCACGCGTGCTGGCTAGCGCTCAGCTAGCCTTCTCCACATTATACAATCTAGGGTCCCCTGCCCAGAGAATGGTCCCACCAAAATTAAGATAGGTCTTCCCATATTAATTAATGTAATCAAGGCAATCCCCAACAGGCATGATCAGAGGCCTGTCTCCCAGGTGATTCTAGATTCCGTCCAGTTGACATTTAACACTCACATAAGTCTATTAAGTGTGACTATTTCTTACTGACTCGGTTTGACCAGTTAGTGTCATTTTAGGAAAGTGTTAATTTCACTCCTTACCTAAGTTGTTTCCATTTGTTTGCAGCACTGTGTTAGAGCAAAGCTGGAGGACTTAGACATCTGATTTCAACACTTAACTGCAAAGAAAGGACCATCAAGACACCATAGTGCTGGGTCAAGGAGAGGGATACAGATTAGAGTAGGAGAAGTGAGAAAAAAACCCACTCGTCTATGGTTTGCTGACCCTTGACATGAGCACCAAGACTAGGGTAGTGGGGAAGGAGTCATCTTTGAACAAATGATACAGTTGGGTCGTCATGTGTCAGAGACGATGCCAATCCCAGCCTCACACCATTTACCAAAGAAAACCCAAAGGTAGGAGCTAAAAACACAAAACTCTTGGAAGAAGAGATGGGAATAAACCTTCGTGGCCTTGGATTTGGCAAAGGATTCTTAGATATGAACACAGACAGCTTGAGCAACAAGGAAAGAAAGGCAAACCACGTCTCACGATAGTGAAGTGGCATCAAGAATGGAAGGAAACCTTGCTAAGGATTTGTATCTGGAACACACAAAGAACTCACAACTCAAGAGTGGTACACAATTCTATTACCATTGACCAAGGAATCCAAGTGAACACCACTGCAATGGAGATAACCTAGCAGCATAGTCAAAGATGCTGAACTGAACCTGCAGCCACTGACAACACAAGTGCCTACTTCTCACCCACTGAGGCTGCCAGCACCAAAAGGCAGATGCCAGAGCTGGGAGGATGGCCCAGTGCAAACAGCAAACTACTCATGCACTACTGGCCAGTGTCGATGTGGTCAGTCAAACAATGGAATACTATTGAATCACAAAAAGAAATGAAGCACTGTCATGCGCTAAGTTATGGATGAAAGACAATTCAGACTGCCCCAGAGACATCTTGCTGAGTGTTAGGAGCCAGACACTCTGAGTCATTCATACAGAATACCCAGAATTGGCAATACTCTGGCAGAAAATCAAAATGGGCTGTGCAGGGCAGGGGAGGGGTGGAGGGGGGAACTGAAAGCCAAACGGTTTAAGGAAATGTTCTAAAGTTGATAGGATTATCTTGGAATGCACCGAAAACAATGAATTATATCTTTAAATGAGTGGATTGTGAATGATGTCAACAAAGCTGTAAAAAGAAAGAAACGCCCATATCATATTTTGAAACCCCAAGATCCTTAATCTGCATGGATTTGATCTTTAATGAGGCTGTTTTTTTTTTTCCCAAGGATTTCACAAAATGTTTCTTTTATGACTTTTCAGTCTCGTCTTCTAAGTTATTCATAATTTCCTTAAAGTGTAAGTTCCCTTAGTGATACAGTGAGCATGCTTTCCAATTCAACAGCAGCCTTTTCAGGAACTAGATGCTGCTAAGGGACTCTGGAGCTCCTGACCCCGCCTCATCCAGAAAGAGAAACATGAGCTCCCAGCACTTCAGACATAGCTGCTGGGCTCAGACCCTCCCCCGATGCCTGCGTCCTACCATTCACTATCATGTAGCCCCCGATTCCACGACAACAGAGAAGACAGTGGGACTCTGTTCTTCTACTCCTCCTGCCACGTGGCATATTTTCTTTTATCCTTCAGCAGGCACACCCTGGCTGCTAGCGATTTTTGGATGTACAACATAGTGGAGGGTTTTAGTATCATGGAGCTCTAGCTATGGAAAAGCTCACTGCAAAATGCAGAAAGATTTGACTATGGGTGACCATCAAGACCAGTATGGGAAGGGAGCACAATAGCGTCCTAGGTAGGGATGGCATTTCCTTCCTAGAAGCCTTGGGGCTAAGTGACGCCAGGGCCTCTGTGGGTTATACACATACCAAGTCAAGTCACTGTCCCTGCTGCCTATAATTAACTGTCCCTCTCTTTGACTGCACACAGAGAGCCTGGGCTTTTCTTCAAACCAAGACTCTTGACCCAGGAAATTAATATTTGACTGGATACAATCACCTCATCCTTCACACGGGAGGGCAATTGCTCTCATGGGACATGACTCACCCGCACAAAGTGTAGGCACAGCACCGTCCTTGCTTCCAGTACCTGAGTACTTAGGAGAACACACAGGCCAGAGCAGAGGCCAGAGCCTGAGGCCTCCTGCCCAGGGTGGAGATTATCAGTAGTTGCAGATGGTAAATAGCAAGTATGTCTCCTGGATGCCCCTAGTAGAGCTAGAAAGCCTTGGTGAATGTCCCATTTGGCTTTTAAGGATTTAACAGTTGTTTATTAACTGGATCCTTTCACGGAAGGATGGAGGGCATGTTCATGCCACTAGATTCCCAAGGGTGAGGAGATGAGGGCTTGCCATAATTGCATTAGTGGGGGCCTCAGTGGGGCCATGGGGTCAGGCACACCCTAAAGCCAGGACCCACCCTGCATTACCCACATTCTCTTGCATAATACCTTTGTGATCCGACAGCCACGGCCTGGGCCTGCTTGGGCCACTCAGCTGTTCAGAAACAAGGTTGACCGGCTCTTGAGTGAAACTACCACTTTCTGGGGCCTGGGAACCTTCACGATTATGCTACACACACACACACACACACACACACACACACACACACACACACACACACAGCACTCACAGAGTTTAATCATTTGTAAAAATTAAAGACACAA